TCGATTAGTTTTAGTTTGTCTAATCATCATGCATTGTCTACAACAATCAAGACTATCCTCCACCGATAGCTCAAAGCAGTTATTTCTAAACAGAAAATAAATGCACCAAATGGATAAAATATCAATATTTCAACTAGGTGAGTGATACATGATCCAACTACACCCTTTAATCACATACATTCTCAATTTCAACATTCTCAATTCGATTTCTCATTTCTCAAAATTAATTTTTTACAAATTAATTTATCAATGTAATTAGGGCATTTGTCATAATTAACAAAACAACCCTAAGGTTCCATTTCTATCAATAACCCACCATTCACCTCAATTCTCCATGCTAAACATGCATATTGGTTTATATAAGTAAAACCCCTTCTTTTGTAAAATTACATAAAGGCCCAAACTTCCTCAAAATTTCCCAACAACGTCCAACGTATCAAAATGTTAAAATTCAAAGACAAAGCTCATAAATAGGAGTAGGATATCCCTACCTCGAAGTTAGAGCTCAAACGGAGAAGTTGAAGAAAATCAAAATGCTCCAAACTCCAAGATCCACCGATCAGAATGAAGCCCTCGACGATCCACACACTTTCTACAAAGGCCGAAGGGTAGGGGGACACTCTAACTAGATCAAATCCTAGAGAGAAGGGAGATCCTAGAGAGAGAGGCTCTCAAAAACGATTTTGGAAAAGTAAGAGAGAGAAAGGAAATGTAAAAAGTGATTTAAAATTACTCAGCGGATGACTCATATACGTATGACCCGCTCGAGCGGAGAATAGAACGCTCGAGCGTCAAGCACAACAATCTGGACCCGCTTGAGCGCAAGAATGCCCGCTCGTGCGCCAAGAAACAAAATCAAAACACACCGCTCGAGCCCGAAGAACCAGTCCGCTCGAGCGTAGATTTTTATCTCCCAGAACTTTCACAGACAAAGCACTACCCGCTCGAGCGTAAAGAAACCCGCTTGAGTGTGAAAAACACACCTGTAGAAGTTTTGCAGAGGCACGAAATACTAGGAGTATGTAAACTCCACTCGAGTGGACAACCAAAAACCAAACTCCACTTGAGCGTAGAATGATCTGCTCGAGCGTAACACCAAAAACCTGGGCAACTACACTTAAGATCAAAACTCAATCTATCTGTTCAGAACACGCCCAATACATCCTATAACTCAAATACAAAGTACGAAAGGATGTAAACAAGATATAAACAACTGCTAACATACACGAAACCAAGTCCAGATCATTGTACAACAAGGGGTAAAAACCCGGAATCGCTATATGTTGAATCAGGCTAAGGCTGCCAAAGCTGCTCAGAATTTGGCTGAGGGAAAGGCCAAATTGGTCGATGATGAAGCCGAGGTTGCCAGAGCTAATCTTGTGGTTGCCAAGGCCAAGGCAGCTGACATAGAGGCTAAGCTTCAGGAGGCCCTTGACTCAAAGGAGGTCGAAGTCAAGGCGGCAGACGAAAAAGCTTTTGAAGAGGGGCAGGCTGCCATCCATAACCAATACAAACAACAAGTCAACATGGCTTGTAACCGAGGTTATTACCTTGGTTGGACAGCGACGCTTGTAACGCCCTCAAATAATAACATTAAACCCAACAATATAGACATGCATTGATATACAAAAGACCAACATTTTCTATTCATCAAGTATTTCATTACAACATGTATTACATGTTAACAACAAAAGCAAATGCCCTACGAGCTTACAGCTTTCCAAGTTAACACTTAGTTACAAAAGAGAGCACTAGCTCAATTACACATTAAGCCCTTGGCTTGAATCTACATGTAATACATCAAAAGAAAATAGACAACAAAAAGTCTGTCCGCCTCTAGCCTCCCAAGCTATGTCCTTGGAGGTGGCATGCTACCTGTACCTGAAAATGATGTTCCCATATAGGGTGAGCCACAGCCCAGTAGAAATACACTAAACCAACTATGAACAGTGACTAAAAGATTAGCAGTTGATAGATGGCCAACACTGATACTTCCATTATTATCACATTGTAGTTTCATGCCATACAAGTTCATGTTACTTTTCATCTCCCATTACACAGTAGATAAGCATATGAGCTATATCAACACATCGACAGATAAGTATAAGAACTATATCACACATCCACAGATAAGCATATGAGCGTATCTACACTTCTCTAGACAAGCATATGAGCTGTATCTACACTTCTCAAAGATAAGCGTATGAGTTGTATCTTCACTTCTCTAGACAAGCATATGAGCTGTATCTACAGAGTTCATCCCCCATCTCCTCCCAACACTATCTGGTTTAGAGGTCCATCTCCCATCTTCCCCTAAACCGCGGAGTACATCCCCCATCTCCTCCTCTACATATAATGCATATAAACACATAGGTTCTATACACAATCAATCAATACATAAAGTTAATGTATTCTATCCACTGCCATATTCTATGACACATTCAATTGATTAGTTTTAGTTTGCCTAATCATCATGCATTGTCTACAACAATCAAGACTATCCTTCACCGATAACCCAAAGCAATTATTTCTAAACAGAAAGTAAATGCACAAAATGGATATTAAATCAACATTTCAATTAGGTGAGCAATGAATGGTCCAACTACACCCTCTAATCCCTTACCTTTCCAATTTCAACATTCTTAATTCAATTCCTCATTTCCAACAATTAATTATACAAATTAATTAATCAATGTCATTAGGGCATTTTCCATAATTAACATTTCAACCCCTAGGGTTCCATTTTCATCAATGTTTCAACATTAATTCTATTTCTTCATGCCAAACATGCATATAGGTTTTATATGATTAAAAACCCCAACTTTTATAAAATTACACAAAGGCCCAAACTCTCTCAAGATTACCCAACAACCCCCAACATATCAAAATGCTAAGATTTAAAGACAAAGCTCATAAAGAGGAGTAGGGTGTCCCTACCTCGAAGTTAGAGCTCGAATGAAGAAGAGACCAAAACCAAAGTGCTCCAAATTCCAAACTTTCTGGATCAAAACGACGCCCTTGACGATCAACACAACTTTTACAAAGGCCGAAGGGAAGAAAAACACTCTAACTAGATCAAATCCTAGAGAGAAGGGAGTTTCTAGAGAGAGAAGCTCTCAAAATATCTTTTTGGAAAGTAAGAGAGAGAGGAAGTGTAAAAAGTGATTCAAAAACGCCCAGCTACTCTCTGTTATACGGCATTTCTGCTCGAATGGAAAACACAACGCTCGAGCGTAAAGAACAAAAAACCATGGTCCGCTCCAGTGCACAAATTACTGCTCGAGTGCCAAGACACAAGAATAAAGTTCACCCGCTCGAGCATGAAAACCAGACCGCTCGAGCGCAATATTCTCCCTCCCAGAACTTACGCCCAAAATGAACTAGACGCTCGAGCGCCAACAATCCCGCTCAAGCTTGACCCGCTCGAGCGCAACAATCCCGCTCGAGCGTAAATAATGCACCTGCAGAAGTTTTGCAGAGCACAAAATACTAGGAGTGTGCAATATCCGTTCGAGCGCTCCAATACCCGCTTGAGCGGAACGGCCAAAATCATAGCAACAAGGTTCTAGACCAAGGCTCAACTCACATGTTCGAAACAAGCCCAACACATCCTAAAACTCAAACAAATGGAACTAAAGGGTGACAACAAGATAGATACAACTGCTAGTGCCCACGGAACCAAGTCCGGATCACTGTACAACAAGGGGTAAAACCCGGGATCGCTATAACGCTCAACAAGTTATCTGTTCTAATGGACTCCGACCTCCGAGACATTAATCCACTTTAAGTGTCTTTCCCTCCAGAGCCCAAGGACTCTAGCGATGAAGCCGGCAAAGATGATACCGAGGATGGTGAAGCTGATGAAGTGGAAGAAGAGGGTGCCACTGATGCCGAGTTTCCTACCCTCAATGAGCAAATAGACTTGACTTAAGATAAGGAGGATAACTTGGTTTCCAATGGCATCTCTCCCAAACCAACCACCTCTGAGGCCGAGGTCCAGTGCGCCAAAAGGAGTCTGGACTAGACTTTGCTCGAAATAGATACCAAAGTAGCGACAGAAAAAATGCAATGTTGCCAACCAAGGCCGATAAGACTCCATCAGCCGAGATTGAGCAATCCTAGACCAATCCTAACACCTTGGATATTTCTTCTTTGTTTTATACTTTTCCTTCTTGTTTTTGAACAATGTTATCTTTAGTTTGGCTGATGTGCCCTCCTTTGTACCTCGAACAAGTTGTCTTTTGCCAGGCCGAAGTGCTTTTTTTTTAATGCAAGTGTTCTCTTTTCTTTCAAGTGTTGAATGTTTGTTTCATGTATGCTTTACTGCTTTCTTTCATGCCCTTTACGTTTCTATACTTAGAATAGTTTTGCACTTCTTCAAAGTATACCTTTAACTATATAATAACTCTGGGGTATAATACCTCGAATACAAACCTTGATGTTTGTCTCGGCCAACCATTGGAACACCTCGGCTAACACTCAAAAATATTTTTGCAAGTGTTATTTAGTATTTCTTTTTTACCTTCATATGCTAGCCTCTTAGACTTTGCCCTTTCCAAGTTTGGACGACCTAGTCGGTTACCTCGGGTAAGATATATCTCGGATACTTTTTCCACTATAACTTCGGCTAACTTCAACTTGTAAATTTTCCTGAAATTTTAACAAGTGTTAAGCCCATTCTGTCTTGTAAATTTTGTCTATAAAATTTCAACAAGTCTCAAGCACTTCACATTTTCAAGTTTATTCATCATTCTCCAGTTCTCTGCCCCCTAATGTGAACTTAGGTTCACATTAAGCATTCATGATCATTTGTCGAAGTTAGATTTAAACATTAAGCGTTCATGATCATTTGCCGAACTTAGGTTCACATTAAGCGTTCATGATCATTTGTCGAAGTTAGATTTTGCTGACGTCGGGCTCTTCAAATCGAAGATGGCTTTGATTTGACCTAGGCTTGCCTTAATGCCCCTTCTAGTAATCAAGTATCCCAGGAACTTACCAGATCCGACTCCAAATGCGCATTTCAAAGCATTGAGTCAGAGCCGATATGTTCTAAGGATATCGAAAATTGCCTTTAAGTTGGCAAGATGACTCTCCGGTTCTTTGGTCTTCACAGCCATGTCGTCAATGTATACTTCCACTATTTTGCCAATCAGATGCCTGAACATCTTGGTCACCAACCTCTAGTAAGTCGCTCCAGCATTTTTCAACCTGAAAGGTATCACTCTGCAGCAGTACAGCCCTTTCGATATGATAAATGCAATCTTCTCCTCATCAGAGGGATACATTGTTATCTGGTGGTATACCCTGTAAGCATCCAGGAAGCTTATCCTTTCATGCCCTGAAGTGGCGTCTACTAGCTGGCCAATCTTAGGGAGTAGGAAGCTGTCTTTGGGACAAGCCTTATTCAGGCTAGTGAAGTCCACGCAGACCCTCCACTTCCTATTCTTCTTCTTTACCACAACTGTGTTAAATAACTAAGTCAGGCAGTTCACCTCCCGAATGGCCCTGGCCTCCAACAATTTGTCTACTTCCTCCTCTACTGCCTCCACATAGATCAACGTCGGCCTTCTTGCCCACTGAATGACAGGTTTAGCCGACCTGTCTACATTGAGTCTGTGGCAAGTGACATCGGGGTCAATGCCAGGCATCTCGTATGGCGTCCAGGCAAACACTTCTATGTTTGCTCGCAAGAATGTCTCCAGATCCCTTTCTTTCTCCTCAGCCAAACTTGAGCCGAGAAGGAAGAAACGCTCTTCTACACCTTCTTCTACTAGGATCTTCTTCAAGGCTTCCTCACTCTTGTCGGCCGATTCTTTGACGACGTCTTCCAAGACCTCCATGTCCTCGTTTTCAATCTCCACTATTTATATCTCTCGCACGTTGCAAGTGGATTTCATTGTTGCTATAGAGCAATTCTTTATTTGCACCTGATCTTCTCTAACTTTCTCAATTCCATGCTTTGTTGGGAACTGCAATAGTTGGTGCAATGTCGAGGGAACAGCCCTCATTGCATGCAACCATGGCCTTCCCAAGATAACATTGTAAGGGGAGGGGGTGTCAATGATTGTAAACTCTGTGCTTACCTTCCTAGTGCTTGCCTGCACCTCCAAATTTATTGCCCCTAAGGGCCAAGTCAGTGTTCTGTTGAACCCTACTATTGGACTGTTGGATTGTTTCAAATCATCTTGGTGAAAGCCGAGCTCCTTGTAACATCTGACATGCATGATGTCACAAGAGCTGCCTTGGTCGATCAAAATTTGCCTCACCTGGTATTCTCCAACCTTGAGGGTCACTACCTGTCATGACCCGAACCCGTCCCTATAGATTAAGGTCATAACCGGCCAGTAATCATGAGATTACCTACAGCCTCAAATTAGATTAGAATATACTCCATCAGAGTTAAGGGGCCAAACGGAAGCAGACTTAAAAATTTTGTCCAACGAGCTATGCTTACATGGCATATCAAAACATTTCACATGTACTTAATAATAACTCACACCACATATCAATAGTTAACATCTTGTATACCCGAGATCATTCAAACATATAGTCAGCTAAACCAAAAGCTTATACACATAAACAGTCTATGACGACCAATAGAAATAGCAAAAGGAATACAAAAGTTCATAACCAAAGCCTCTTGCGTGAGGCACCTAGGCTGACTTCACAAAACTCGGGTTCCTTTCTTAAACTCCACTAAGGCTGGGGTTGAACGTCCCTTTGCTCACCTACATACATACAAATGAGAGTGAGCCAACGCCCAGTGAATAATATCAGAATAAAGAGGTTAATGAATGAGATTCGTTCATAAATGAATCATACTTATAATGTACATATTCGAACCCCTATTCTCATTCACACCAGATTTACAAGTCTCAACAAAGCAAAACGACCTTAGGTCCAACACATCGTGTCCATATGCAAAACGACCTCAGGTCCAGGTCTTATACAAAACAATACGACCTCGGGTCCATCTATACGAAGCGACCTTTGGTCCAACCAACTCTCTATTCAAAACGACCTTTGGTCTAATTCTAACACATCAAACGGCCTCGGGCCCAATTCAAACGTATCAGGCGTATCAGATGGCCTCGGGCCCATTCTCTTTATATTCATATCCACGCGCATTTCGTATTCATGATCATGATCCCTTTCATTCAAATGGCTTTCAGCCCATCACGATATTCCAACATATCAAATGACATATTCAAACGGCCTTTGGTCCACCTTTGCATTCATGTCTAACAGCCTTTGGCCCAATCGTTCATGTCCAACGGCCTTCGGCCCAACTATTTATGTCCGACGGCCTTCGGCTCAATTATTCATGTCCGACGGCCTTTGGCCCAATTACTCATGTTCGACGGCCTTTGGCCCAATCATTCGTGTCCAACGGCCTTTGGCCTAATCATTCATGTCCAACGGCCTTCGACCCAATAATTCATTATGGTCAAATGTATCAAGCGACAAACGGCCTTAAGCCCAATTTAGATATATCAAATGTATCAAGTGACAAACGGCCTTAAGCCCAATTCAGATATATCAAACGTATCAAGTGACAAACGGCCTTAAGCCCAATTCGAATATATCAAACGTATCAAGTGACAAACGACCTTATACAAAGTTAGGCATATAAAATACTCATTCATATTTCCAATCAACAAATCCATGAAGCTTATACAGAGGTAGCATTTGGAAAGTAACATACTTGAAAATATCTTTACTAAGATATTACTCACAGTGTTCTGCCGATGGATTCACCCTTGAGCTCGACCCTACACATTACATAACACATGTGGGTCACAAACAATTCAATCTGTTCTTAATTCATACATCCCTCTTAGGCTTCTTTCTTATTCTTTTAGTTCATTCATAATGCTCAATGCATGCCTAAGAGTATTTAAAAGTGAAAGAGAACGGAAAATGAAACACATAACTCCTTTACAAATTTTCTGAAACAGGGGTCCCCGCTCGAGCGTGAACTTCCCCGCTCAAGCGAACCTATTAGTCTGCAAAAGTACTGGTTGCCTCATTTTTACGCTCGAGCGTGAACTCGAACGCTCAAGCTGAAGGTTATTCTACATAGCTCCCCGCTCGAGCGTGAACTTCTCCGCTCGAGCGGACATCATGTCTGCAAGCTCGTATTTCCCGCTCGAGCGGCGCCTTCCCTACTTGAGCAGACATGCTAGATTCTGGAAAATCCAGAACTGTTCTTGAGCTTTAAACTTACATTCAAATCAACATATCTTGCATATTATGACTCAAACTTCACATATACATTTACTAACATGATCCAATACCAAATTCATTACATTATGAAGCTCAATTTCATGAATTAATCACATGCATGTCCCAAATTACACCAAACTTATTTCCAACATAACAATTTCATGTGTTCAAAACTCATACTCTTATGAATTGTACATGCATGTGAGATATAGTTCTCATTCTCAATTTAAAAGATGAAGAGATAATCAAAAGCATGAGCTTCAATCAAAGATTCAACATGGATCATGTATTTCAAGCTCAAACATACAAATTCATGGCAATTCCTACATGCATGTGTATATTGACTTCCAATTTATCAAAGCCAACTCATTTTCATCATAATCAATTCAATTCATGTTCCTGATCACCATTCAACTTTGAATTCACAAAGTTACAAACTAAAATCCATGAATTTACTCACCTAGAGGCTCAAATCTTCCAAACTATGGTTAATTCTTGAGTTACACTCCAAAATCTTCAAGCTTCTTGAGCAATTCATCTACTTGAGCTCCCTTTCTCTCTCTAACCGACCCTCACTCCCTCTCTTTAGAGTGATTTTCATCTTTGAGCTCAAACAAATGAAATTAAAGTGTAATAGAGCCCCTTATACAAGCCCTCTCTCAACACATTTCATTAATATTAAATAACTGAGCTCTAACCCAT